TGGAAAAAAAATGTGATCCATGGCGTTCTTTATAATTTGCATGTTTTGTATTTGAATGTGAAAAAATGCTTCTTCATCCGATTAATAACCACGTAATCATGATCTTTTTAGAAAAGCAGCAGGGCTCATGGATCAGAGGACCATGAAATTAGGGCTAATGTTTTAAACAGAGGATACCTTTAAACAGTCATTATAGCAAGGAAAGTTCTACTCTTGTGCATTATCATTTCTAACAATTCAGACTGAGAAAAAAAATGAAGAAATAGAACATTCAGGCACAGGGATTGAGGGTGGATTACAATGTTCAATGACTCCGGACTTATATAAGAAACCAAAACTCCTGTTTCTTCTGACGTGCACAGTAGCAGAGTCATTTCTTCCTTTCTATATTTCTAAATTTACAATTCGTTAGATAATTATTACATAAAGGAGGAGAAGGTAAAGAAGAGAAATGATGAAAGAAAAACGAATCCTAATTGTGCTGAGACGCATACAAACGGCTAGTTTTTACGTTACTACATGTTCTATTTTATATTAAAACGTAACTCAACAAATAAAGTCCATCCCAAGTATATGACTATTGGAGACCTTTGAACTTGAGCAATAATTTGTTCATAGCTGGTCAAATTATTGCACTTGGATATCAAAATTTAAGTTGAAAAAGAAGGAAAAGAAAAGAAAATCTTGCAGGGGGGGGGGGTGCTTCAGCGTGGGGGCCCTCCTCCATTCCTCTTTCCAAGCATACTAAATGCCAAAAATTGCCACTGCCACTGCTGCTGTCAACAGTAAGAACGTTCTTTTCCAATTTTGCATTTTTTGCTAACAAAAAGTTTTTTTTGAGGGTGGGCGTATATAGCTCTATTTGTAGTTTCTTTGGCCTTAGTATTTCAATCTACAGCCACTGCACAAAAAAAGAGTTGCTGATTTTTAACAGAGACCTGCACAGTAAGCGAATGGAAAAATTGTCGTGTCTGAAGTGAGAAGGAAGAATCGATAGTGTGCAAAATTGGGCAACCTTCGGCGACGCACCAGACGAGTCACCAACGCCGCACCACTAAAATTGCCCCCCCTTTCTCCACCGCCACCCTCGAGGGGCCCCAACTCTTGTTCCGCCCCCCTCCCTACCCCCCTTGTTCTCGACGCAACGCAACGCCAGCACACAATTGAAGCAAATATTCCGTTTCGTTATCGCCTGCGTAAAGCTCGCGATGTTTGGAATATTTCTCGGCGAAATTTCTGATGAAAAATGTAAACAATGTGTGCTACGCTGGGCTCAGCCCCCTGCTCCGTCCGACTCCTAGACTGCAGCGGCGTGGAGTGCTTTGCGATCTATTGGTATTTCCCCATTTGAAGCTGTGGTAAATAATCGATTGTTAAGGTGTTCGCTGCGAACACCCTGTTTATCGATACTTTTCCGTAGGTTTAAATGTTCGATCCATCGATATATCGCAAAGCACGCCACTGCAGACGTCAGCTCGAACACTTGCAACAGTGCACTAGACCGAGTCCCGAATAGGAGTTGCCGTTCCGTCATATATTAAGCTAAATCTTTCACTTTCGGGCTCATTTAACCAAAAGGAACCAAATCATACTTTCACAAAAAACAAAGGATAATGATTTTATGCTCGGTATTTTCCAAGCAAAGCATCAAACGTCACAAATAATAATTCAAATATCGACTCAAAGTTGATGTATGTCGTGTTATCATAAAATGCTATTATCAATCTCTAAAATATTTCATACATAATTTTGTTTGACTCAAGTAATGGATGGATTACAGTAATGGTACTGTTTTTAGAGATATTATCTCACAGGTTTTCCCTCTGTTTTGGGAGGATACCTTTAGTGTCCTTCTCGCCGAATTGACAGGGAGCAAAAGTGACAAAGGGTTTGCGCGCAACTATTCCTGCTTTCAAGTAGGTCATTTTGCCATCACGATTATTGAAGGCGAAGTGTGCGTGCAGCAGCGAGAAAGCAACGAGAGCGGAAAACCATAGAACCTCACTGCATTTTTGTGGGACAGTGTATAGGTGAACAGGCGCGGGAAATCAACAATATATGGCATGATTTTTGAGACGGAAGGGAGGGTCGAGCAGCAAAACCCCGTGAAAACCCGAGCAACCCTTTAGAATTGATTGAAGCACATAGATTCCATTTTAGGATTTTCGAATTAATATATTATTGATATTGAGATTAAGATTAGGATGAGATAGAGATCGAGATTAAGGCTCCGCCAGCCTTACGCTTACATTTATGCAGCATTCTCAGATGCTTCCGATGGTTTTGAATTTGTAACTCGCGCTAGCCTCAAGTTTACAGATTCTTCAACTCATATACCTCTCAAGAGAGGCGTAACATGTCGCAAAGATGTAGCAACAATTCGCAACAGTGTGCGGTATCCAATTAAAACCTCGCATTTACGAAATTTTCAGCAAAGCTTGAACTTAAACTTGTGCACGAGCCTCACTGCTCGAGGCCGCCCAATCGTGCGGTAATTAAACTTCGTGAAGGCACATTTTTAATGTCTCTCGTTGAAATTCGGCAACACATCACTGAGTTTTTCCTCCGGAGGCGAGACTCTCGTTGGTTTGGTGCGTGAGAAAATTTGCTCTTTCCCTTGCTTAGATAGCTCATTATTGAACGAGTTTTCCAACGCACCAGACCGAAAAATTATCGCCAACGAAAATCCTCCGTCTGCCGAAATCCGATCGAAGGAAATGAAAACGCATCCGAGTCTCTTGTGGTATTCAATTTTTTTATCTGTCGAAGTACAACTAAATGAGGCAACATCTGTTCACTCTTTGTTAACTACTTTTTTTTTCAAGGAATAACAGAATATTGAAATTAGTATGACTGGTTTGATACTGATATTTTTGATGTCTCTAAATTTTACTCTCTCCTTGTGATCAGCACGTCGTTAAGAATTGCAGGGCCGGATTCACCAACTTCCCGCCCATGGGCCGCCTGTATTTTTCCGCCCCATTCTCGTTCGTTTTGAAACATCAATAGATCGTATTCGACAGTGGTTCAATGTATCGTCTTGCTCAAAACAATAGAACATAACCTCAAACAAAAATTTTAGGATTTAATTTGAAAAAGCTGAAAATAAGAAAACTCCCGACAATTTCACTTTTCATTGCCATTTGGCACTCGAGAGAATAAAAATTCGATCAAATGAGACCCGTTACCTCAGATTTCTAAATTGAATTTTAAGGCTGTGAGTACATATTGAGCCAATCGATATCAACATAATCTCACCTGTGTGATCTGTCGAATACGATCTAGAAAAACAATCAAGTGAACGTGCCGGTGGAAGAGGGGTGTATGACACGCGTTTACTCGTGTTGGGCACATTTTTTGTGAAAGCCCTGTCAACACTAACAAAAGTTCAGTTCCGTAAACCCATCCCTTTTTGAACAAGGCCTTCCTGTGATAGAATGCTTCAGCACCTCAGAAATTTTGACAAGTGGCTCAAGGAGTCCTTTAGGGGCCCTCAAAACTTGAAAATCCCTTATAAAGAAAGACTTTAGGATAGTGAAGGGGGGTCCTCACCTCAGAGGAAGGGCCCAAAAACGTATCAGCACCCTGGTAAAAATTGGCGATACGAGCTGCGTTTCAAAATACCATAGGAGTTCTTATAGCCGACTAAAGAAGGCTATTGAAAATCATACAGCTGGCTGTAGAAAGCGGAGAAAATCATATAGCCGGGCTATACGAAGCTATAAAAAAGTATACAGTTGGGCTATAGTTCCTATCTTCGGGCTTTACACTTTATCGCCATTGGCTATAAAAGGCTATAAGAAATTGTGTAGAAATTCATGTGCTTTGGAAATCATTAAGTTTGATACGGAACTATATATATATATATATATATACCTTAATATTTACAAAACACACATTATATTTTGCTTTANATATATATATATATATATATATATATATATATATATATATATATACCTTAATATTTACAAAACACACATTATATTTTGCTTTAAAACATATTTTTTTTTCATCAATTAAAATGAGAATAATCCATTAAGAGTGTGCAAACATTTCAAAATCATGAGTCGAAAAACGCTGACTCCGCGAGATTAAATATTAGAGCCTAACACAAAGCGGAGCGGCGACGCACTGGCGCCTACAAACCTAACAGGGATACTTCACGCATTGCGCAATGCGTGAAGTATCCCTGTTAGGTTTGTAGGCGCCAATGCGCGTTTAGTGCTCTCTGCCCGTTCGCCGCGCCGCAGCGTGTCACGGCGTCTGAGGCAACTATTTCACACCAGAGGTATTGCACAGTATCATTAGAAATTGAAGGCGTTCCAACATATTGAGAATGACAGGCATCCTTCGAAAGTACGGAGCTTTCCTCGCAATATAAATCAAGATACTACGGCACAAAAAGAGAGCGATAGTCCACAAACTAACTAAGTCGTAGTATCATTATTTAGTAACGTTTAGCATGAACTTTATCGTCTGGCTGTTGCTTAATCGCCATCGGCTATAAAAGGCTATAAGAAATTGTGTAGCCGGCTACAGAAGCTATTGGAAATCTTACAGCCGGCCGTAGGTCTATGGTATTTTGGAGCACAGATTCTACTGCCAATTTTTACCAGGGCATCCCAAGAATTTTTGAGCCAGACCAACACTGAGCTTATTTTGAAAAGTTTGATTTAATATTGTATAAGGGTTCGTTTTGTCTTATCAGTTACTATCAGCTAATTTTGCCTAATTGGGGTTTTGACGGAGTTACGAGGCTGCCATTAATATAGCCTATAGATGGCAATCTTTCTTCTCATCAAACCCAAGAGGTTCATAGGAGAGAAGAAATAGTAATGATAAATCATTGAAGTATGATCAAGCGTGGGGTTCCTCAGAAATTCATCGGCACCTTAAGTATCCTCATCTAATATTCCACGTAGGAAAGTAAATACTCATTTCGATACGCGCTCCTAATTTTCAGAATAATGACGTCAGTTTCTCATTTTATGTTGCAGTCCTTAAAAAAAGAAGTTGATTGGGATAGAGGAGATGACAATCGAAGTACGGCTGGCGAAAGTTCTGTTGAGTACCGGCATTCTCATGACCTGGTAAGTTTTAAATTCAATTTTTTTCATATTGACGTTTATCATTATTGTTCTTACATATTCCTACCTTGCAATATTAATGTGATATGTTCAAAGTAATTACAAACTCAAAACTCTAATACGTCAGGCGCTATAAAGGTATATTTTTCTTGAGTATTTATTGAGGGGGCTATGCCGGCAATGGGGAGGGGTAAACTCACCCTTAGGGGGCAATTACAAATTTTCAACATCTACTTTCTACAAGTGAAGTGTCATAATTCAAAATTTTGATTTGACGAGAACCACTAAAACATTCTGATAGTGTTCATTTGAGGTCTCTTTTACAGTTTTAAAAAACATACAATGAAGCATTGAAGAGAGATCACACCTGCGTCGTATTATTTTTTTTTTTAATCTACCATTTCGTTTCACGCGCGATTGATGGATTAAATCAAATTAAAAGCTTGCTCGAAGTTCATTTTGTGGTTACAATAATTATTGCAAACTTGATTAAAAAACGGCATTCAAAAACGGTTTCCGTTGGAGACACAAGACGGGTAGGTCAGCTGACGTTAACTAATTCTTTTGTGTCCCACTCTCTCTGATTTAGGGTAAAAATCCCCCAAATATACCTTGATTTGCACCTCAGCCCTAAACTGGCAGGTGCTTGACGCTAATATTAGTTAGATAACGCTGATTGATCCACCCATCTTGTGTTTCCGCCACAAACTCGTTTTTTTCTGTTGTTTTTAGGATCGAAATAATTTTCATCAAAGCAACACAGTAACTGCTACTAACTGCAGTAGATGGGACCTAAAATTAACTATTAGTATTGCAGAAGGAGCTATTTTTTTCTTCGTGTTTTTCACGGGAGGTTTTTCTGACCGGCAGATATTGACGTTTTTATGACCCTTCGACGATTATCCTCGTGTACGTGAACTTGTTTTGCCTAAAAAAGTATTATAAATTAATATTAGAAAACGCTGTACCAAAATTATCTTGGGAGCACCGACTCGATTGTGATGTTACAAACAAGCGCAGATTTTGATACTATCGTGTTGGTCCCCCATAAAACCAAGAGGGTACTTAGTCTGGATCAAACCCAATACAATTGTTCTAAATGTGACGTAGGCCTATCGATTTATGCTTAGAAGCCTTCTGGCTCCCATGAACAATTTGAAGACTGAGTACTTCGTAAGATGTTTGGCTGTTCTGATTAAATGTCGCATGCAGAAAGGTTTATGTCATGTTTGTTGATGTACCTCACCTATTTTAATGTCAGTTTTTAATGTTTACGCTGCGGCCTAAAATTTTCTCTCTTGTTTACTTTTTTAAAATACCTATATTCACTCTTCCACTCTTCCACTCTTTTCATTTCTCTCCCATTCTCCAAGGACACGGAGTCATAAGTATTTGGTTTTAATTCAAAACCCAATCAATCTAGGATACAACTGTAATGCAATTTAAAAATATAGTTGATTCAATTAAGAATTCTCCCTCTTGAACACTCGTACCTCTGAAAGTTATGAAATTTCGTGGTTTTTTTTCTGTAAGAATACCACTGAATGAAGTGTTCAAGATATTTTAATCATTGTCTGCTACCTACTCCTATTCTCTCAGATCTCTCCAGTGAGGCTTTTTATTTTAATAACCTATTTTCGGCCATTGCATCTTTTCCCCTTAGCTTGCCATTTATGTTGAATGTCTTTGTACCTTATTCAAGATTTATGAGAACATCCTGCAAAATGTGTGACACCTGAATTGACCACTCATACGAACTTGAACTTTTTTGACGGTCTAAAAAAAAATGATAGTTCAACACTTGAAGTGAAAAATTAAATCGAAAAAGATGGGCATTCAAGTTAATTGTAAGTCAGTGCCTATTGAAAATTACGAAGCCCCTCTAACGCACAACTGTGTTGGGCAACAACGAAAACAAGAAAAGGCTGTACTTTACTCTGAGATCTTCTAATATCCAAAAGTATGGCAAGCTGCCAAAGTTATGATCAACTTTGTTATAGTCACCAAAACTTCCTTTCCCAACTAAGATTAGAAACAAACTTAATTTTTCAGATTTTCATTTTTCCTTCTCCTCTCTTTCTCTTGCCTTACCTCTTCCATTATTTATTAAGCCAATATTATTAATCCAATATTGCCAAAACATTTCAAAATGAAATAATGGGGAGTAATGGGCGGAACTAGTGGGGAAGGGGAAGGGGTGTCTGGTGCCCCAGAAATCTACTTTGCCCCTCCCATGTAATGCAAGGAATTTTGCTAATTAAGTGTCTGGCATACTTTTCATCCTAAAAATTGTAATTTGATAATAATGGGCGGAACTAGTGGGGAAGGGGAAGGGGTGTCTGGTGCCCCAGAAATCTACTTTGCCCCTCCCATGTAATGCAAGGAATTTTGCTAATTAAGTGTCTGGCATACTTTTCATCCTAAAAATTGTAATTTGATAATTTTTCCGGAAAACAGCTCAAAATTGTTCCTGAGACGACTCAACTTTTCAAATCTTTAAGGGAGAGACCATCAGACCCCCCCAACACCCCCCTTGAAGCTAGACATTTTCCTCGAACCACTCTCTGGAGCTAGGGGAGTCCCGCAGACGCAGGCAGCCCCCCCCCCCTCGNTTTTTTTTTTTTTTTTTTTTTTTGTCCCCCATGGAAAATGCCTAGTTCCGTCCATGTGCGGAGTTCAATTACCATCAGTCAAATATACTATACCTTTATTAATAGCTGACAGTTAAACTCCAAGAAGTATCCAAAGATGTTTGATCCTGGATCTAAAATACGCTATCCTATTGTCTGCATCTCAAAAATTACGCCATCTGTTGTTTTAATTATGGAATGAACTACTTTCTCTTTTTTGGTGTTTATTTTTCTCTATAAATTCTCAATATCTTAAGTACGTTGGCTATGTTTGTGTGCGATACTTGATACAGAAATGCACGATTGTAAAAAAGAAAATAAATGTCAAGGACATGTTTAGGATTGTTGAAGAGAGGAATATTTCTATTCGACTGTACGTTCAAAAATGTAAATGAGACCGTTTAATGCGCGCATTTAAATTTAAATGGGCGCTTTGAACATCTGCAAATTTATTTACGTTTTAGATCGTGTGCAAAAATTGTGTATTTTTTAGCCTCCCCGGAGCGAATCATTACTACAATACTACAATATACTAAAATAAAGGCGTCATTTGCTTAAGATTTACCCAAGATTTCAACTATTCTTCGAGGAACCCAAAATGACTGCGATTATGTGTCGCACTTCTTTAAATAAAAAATATAAATAAATAGATAAGTAAATAGATAAATAAAAAAAAAAAAACAGATAGGATCTGCTGATCAAACCGTCAAGCTTTTCATTCTTAAAACTACGTGCAGTGCGAATACTAGTATATTCGTTGCTTATTTGATAAATTTACTTTACATGATGGCAGCCATTTTGGATTCCTTGGAGAGTCATCAAATCTGGGTGTCTTGTCTGTAACAAGTAACCACCTCTATGCCCCCGTATGTATTTTTAAAAGGAAAATATTAAAACATAAGCGCATTTTTCCAATGTGAATGGTACGTTTTCCGAATATTCCTATCGTGATTCTTTCGATGATTTTCTCTACCCAATCTCCAGTTCACCAAGAGAACGAAAAAAAAATACAGCAGAGCCACTGTCGTATGAGCCAATCTATAAAACTGAGCTAGTTTCTTCTCCCAATTTTCTCAACATTACCTCGCATTATTTTTATTTTGATATAAATATAAGTTTTCATTCTTTGTGGTAGATGTTCTACACATATTAGAAGAATTAGATCGGTAGAGTTAGCTACACCGGCCTGCACTCAATTGTTTCGGTACAGACGATTGACTTAATTTAAGTTATTACACTTACACCTTAGACAGAATAAGATAAAAATAAGTATTACTTAAAGTACCTTTACTTTATTCCAGTCCTAAGACAGAGTGTAGTCAAATCTACCGATTCTCTTCTTTTTTAGTGCATGACTTATAAAAGTGTGGGAAGGGGAAAAAATTTAGTTTGGCCGCGAGGTGAAATTGACTAGATTTGCACCGCATCTCATTTAGTTCGGATGCACTTGACACTGCGAGAGGAGAGGTGCATTGGTGCATTTCAGGTTTCGTCACCGTCGGGTGAACTGAATTTTCTCCTGCTTAAGTGTGAGGCTTAAAATTTGGCCGAGCATGGAATGAGAAATGGATACCTTGAAAAAGGTTGCTGTTGCTGTGAGGAAGTTTAAGTGCGTAAGGTACCTAGTATAACTTTGATCTATGCTTTTTCTCTTTGGCTTCCTGTTTACGTTGATGACTCTGATCTCACCCTGTGCCCTGTGCTTGAGCTGCTCACTATGCTTTGCATGATCTTTGTGGATATTGATGTTGCTTGTTGTCGAGAAGTTGACCTTCATTTTTGGCTCTTGCCTGTTATTCTCTTTGCTCTGGTGCGCGTGCGATAGTTTGATGTGATTGTCTGTTGTCATTCTGCTGCCAAACAAATGAGCGTCAACTTCTTGTGCTGAGATTTTCTCCTTCCACTTTGCACTTGCCTGGACTAGTAGGGCAACCTGTAGGTGTAGCCAAGCCAGCATAGAAGTTGATGGTCTTTTTGTTTGGTTGCAGGAGGAGGGCACCGGCGGCGGCGTCGGCGTCGGGACGCCAGGTTCGGGCGAGGCGGGCCGGGCGTTGTACAAGTGCGTGTACTGTGGTATTGCATTTGCTCATCAAAGTAAATTGACCCGGCACATCCTGTCTCACAGCCTCGAGTCGCTCAAATACCGGGAGCATTCGGCTCTCATCTCGGTACCACCCATAGGACTTATGGACACTCACATACGACCGCCAGACCCTCAGACCATGGACACTGGAGGCGATTCATCAGGTGCACTTTGTAAATTCTGTGGTAAGTCATTTCCGGATGTTGGCTCCCTCATTGGACACCTCCCGGCACACACAGGAGATAGGCCTTTCAAATGTGAATTTTGTGGTAAAGCTTTCAAATTGAGGC